AGTGAAACCAAATACTGACAAACATGACAAACATGTGTGCACTATATATTCGTTTGTGTGTATATGTGTCTGTGTCTGTGTAATAAGCGTTATAATTAACACAATCAATTAAGCAAACACATCCCCAGCCATCCGCAGGGAGGCTAGTATTTCATTTTCACAGAAAATTCGTTTAAATAACATCACACGCCTTCTCAAAATGAATATTGTATGTACACATCGCACTCGCATCGTTATCCAATATTGAATTTTTATTTTTGTTTTTCGTCGTCCTTGTCGTCCTCGACAAAATCAACACAGCCAATCAAACGCACACTGGCACTCGCAAAAGGAGCGCGAGCAGGGGACATGGTCTAGGGTCCGGGAAAACCGACTCATATCGATATGTCGCATTGCTTTGCGTATTTGCTGTCCACCCGCATTCGCACACTTATGTAAGCCAGTACGAACGTGTGTGTGTGTGTGTGTGTGTGTGTGTGTGTACTCGGAGGATGAGCATTTGTATGCGTGCATGTGCATGTCAAAGTAATGGACGAAATTCTCGCATAACCATGCAGCCGTCAAGCAGTTGCAAAAATGGAGGGTATATACAAATACACATACATGCTTATATACATACGTATCTATATGTACACGTGTATGTATGTATGTATGTATGAATGTATGTAGGTGCGTATGTGTGTAAAAGTGAATGACTTTTGCGCTTGGCATGTAAATGAAGGCGAGCTTAAATGGATTTTGATGCTTGGGCACTGTGCTCGGTGTCTACTTAATGGTGACGAGTTGTGCACATACACACACACACACCCCCACACACACACATGTATGTATACAGTCGCGTCTCGAATATTTCGATGCTCGAAATACTGACACATTTGCAAGCCAAATGTTAGTTTTCTGGTCTAAGACTAGCTGCTTGAAAAATGTTGTTGATGACATTATTTCAACAGTCTTTTAGAAAGTACTACTCGACAATATTTACAAGCAAAAAGTATTACACATTGTCAGATGATGGGTTAGCTGGCATTTTGATTCCGAAATAAGTTATATATTACTACATTTTTGATTGGGACAGTCTGTCTATCTATCAATAAGAGTGTCGGTGTTTTTATACCCGTATGTTTACTTATCAATATTGTTCATTATTCAGAAAATATGTATTTGACACGCAATTGTGAAATTTGGCTTCGAAGCATTATTCGCTGAGAAGAATCGCTAAGTAGGGGAAAATCCTATTCATTAGTTTGAAATAAATTTCAGTGCAATTCCATTTTGGTCGGTTTTAAATTCTTTATTTAAATAATAAACAGGAGGCATTCAAACTATGAAAATATGTAGCTTGAAAAGTTGCAATAATATTAGACTTATTAATTGTTTGTATGAATAAAAAATGCTAACATTCCGAAGAATGATGTATTTTTAAACGAACTTATAATGTTGCTATATCAAAATTACCAAATAAATCATTCCTTAGAGCCTTAATGACTTTTCTTTTTAAAATCCTTAAGTGCAGGTGTAGATTCCAAAGAATGATATATTTTTAAAAGAAATTATATTTTTTCCCAAGTACCTAAATAACTCCTTAGAGCCTTAATAACTTTTTATAAACATATGTAAGGGTAGGGCCATCCAGGATAACATTAGCGAAGTCTACCTGTAATGCACGTACATATATGTACATGTATGTATATAAGCATGTGCATACTTAGAAGTCAGTAGCTAAATGGCAAATCGTAAAATGTGATTTTCCGATGTATAGTATTTGTGCCGTAGTTGTTGGCACCTATTTGTCGGCCGTGTTGTCAAGTCCGTGGACTATTTGGCTCTTGGAGTGACACAAGAGCTCACGGACTATGATATAAATCCAGTGTCCTGTCACCTGTCGCCAGTGTGTGCCATCAGTGGTGAAAAGTTGGCCGTTGGCGCATGTTTTGCGCTTTTTGTCGAGCACAGTCCGCCTGTCCGTCTGTCTGTCTGTCTTAAAACAGCTCGCACACATCCTTAATTTTGAACGACATTTGCCATTTACCATTTTACATTGGCGTTATCGCAATGTGCGAGTGCAGAGCCAGCAGCTTCATATCGGTAGCTGCTTTATTGATATTACCAAGGATTTGCTTATCGCGCGCTCTTCGTCCTTTCTTCCTCGCACAACTGCTTATGTGAGCAGTTGGCGGTTTTTTTGTTTTGTGCGGGTGGCAGGCATTTTTGCAAACGATTCCTAATTAGACAACGAAACTTTTGCAACTCCGACGCTTAATGTGCAACAAGACAACAACAACAACAAGTAGAGCTAAGACAGTTACATGGGAAACTTGTGCCAGCTGCTCGCCTGCATGACACGCTAATTGCATTTACTGGTTAGCAGCCTGGGCTGCATTTGAGCCGTGCAGACTTGAGATTATGTCGAGGCATGTCACACATGTACATGTATATATGCATACAAGTATATACATCCATCTACATACATATGTGCATATATACACCTCATCTGCCCCCACCCCTGTGGAGTGTGCAGCACATAAAGTAAGGAGCGTTAACGCCGCTGCGCACGTTGGTGTCCTATTAATGAAAAATGCATACTTCTTGTAATTAAATAATAATTTTCCATGTTGTCAACATCGGGTGACAAGATAACGAAGTCGCTGTAGCTGCAGAGTCGAGCGGTAAGGACACCGCTACAAAGTCAGCATGACATTTATAGCATATCTCCACATGCAGTCAGGGTTTCGGCGAGTTTATTGAGCTCTTCGCTGTAATTCTGTAGCTTAAGTTGTTATCCAATTTAAAATATGTGTACGTGTACACTGAAAGAAAGGAATTAAAAAATATAGTACACTTTACTTCTCGTGACGAATTTTACATCTTTTTTTGTAATGACACGTTCGAGTATTTTATTTATTTTATTCACTTTATTTTCAATTCGTAGCAAAGATTAATTATCTATCTTTTACAATTAAGAATTGGGTTCCTATTCTTACCCAATAAGCTCCACTTATTAACCGCTTATTATCCTCTTTAGTGATTTCCTGATTGGAAATTCCAAATTTGCAATCAAGATTATTTTGTGATTTATTTGCATACTCTTCCTTACAAAACTCGTATAGGAATATTAAATTGCAGTATTAAAAATTTGTTGGGTGTGAAGCGAGGCAATATTTAAAGCGCAATGAAGTGTTTTATATAAATAATCCCTTAGATTTACATGTATGCACGAATATGTATCTGTGTGCGAATACAATTAACTTTGTTGGGGCAAGTTGCTTACTGTAATTAGAGAATCGGTTGATTTAATGATAATACTTGTATGAATATATGAATAGAATTTTGTGTTTTGACTCTGGGCGCCGCATAAATGTCATTTGCATGCTCGGATGTGTAATTGCATTTATTGATTAAGTCAATTAGTGCAGTTTGACAGCACTTAGGCAATCAAGTGGTTGGCCAAATATTAGCCAAGCTTGTTGCCAGCTTGTATTTTATTGGCACTATATTGCAGTATTTTTTGAAATACAAAGAATAAGGCCAACACTGTACCAAGCCTCAACGATGCCTAAAACTATGCAAATACCATTTCTCTTCAGCCCCTGAATATTAAACAAGAAGAAATCCTTGATTGCCACAGCAATGCTCAATGAATGGAAATTTCCTTATTTTTGTTGTTGTTGTTGTAGTTGTTGTTGGTGGAGCGTACAAAACATTGCAAATATAAAAGAAGAGTGGCATCTAGTGTAGAAATATGGCAAGAAGCACATTTTTGTGTGTTGCAATAAACTTTTATGGCAAAAATATTTTTGATTCGCCTTTCATCTGAACGAAGTGCAAAATGTTAGTGCGCTCAAGCGGTTGCATTTGGTAATAACAAAATTCATGTGCATCCATATAATCTGTTCTCTAAGAGGCATACACTGGTAGAAAAATGTAGTTCTTTTATATAAAGCTCGTCTGAATATTTGTGTTTTAGATCTTACCATCCTGCTTACCACCATTTAAAATCTGTTTGAATAATAGAAAGCAAATTTTTATATTACTCGTGGAAAAATGAATTATGAAAACTAATTTCAATTCAGACATCATTTCATCAAAAGAATTATTTCAATTGAAGCACAAAAAGTATTAATATCATCATTTGGAAAAGTTTGAAGTAATAATGATTCAAAAAGCCTTTAATTATTGGCTAAATCGCATAGTTTACATAATTGCCTTTAGTTAAAGAAGCTTCAATTTGTATACTTAGGTGTTTTCTTTTATCTGATGGTATCTAATTATTCGATACATAATTTATGTGCATGCTTAATATAATGCTGGCTCATATGTATGAAGTAATTTGTTTAAAATTATTATTTATTTTTGGTGTAATCATCCCATATTTGTTAATTTACATATTTCCTTGTCCATTTCAAAGGAATAGATCAGTAACGATTGCCTGAAAACAAAGAGAATTTCGTACATCACATACCCTCATGTTCCTTTAGTGTCGATTTTGCCTCAGAACTATTTTGTTTATTCTCTCTGTTTTGGGACGCGGATTGGGGCTGTTTCCCTTCCCTTTCCAACCAACTAGTTATCTGTGTGCCTGTGCGAGTGGTTATGACCCGCAGCAATCAATACTGTTTCGTTTTTGGCAACGCTTAAGCTCCACAAATCAGATTACATGCATATGCATGTCACTATCTATGTATTTGTAAATGGAGTTTCAGTTGCCGGAATAGAAGCCAACAGAGTCGAGTCGGCCAGGTTATTCTACAAATAACACCCGCAGTTGGGGTGCAAATCGCAAACACATTCTGGTTGCCTTTTATTCAATTTCGGGGATGAACCAAAATATGAAATGTTGAAGTACAATTTTATTAATTAAAAAGGATGTCGGAACTAAACTAGTTTATTGATTTTTTTAAAACGAAATGCGTTAATACTTTTACGGTTCTTTTAACAAAATTGCATGCATATATATACTTGTATATACTTAAATTCATTTGATTTGTTTCGCTCAATTACAGGAAGCGTATCGTCGATGGGTCTGCAGCACTCTAGTGCCATACTTTGCCGAGCACGAGGATATTGCTGCAACGCCCACGGCCAAAGCAAAGACTGCGACAAGCCAGCCAGTCGATGACCGGAGCACGACGGCGACGAAGAGCAAACGCACAGCGAGAAATGTGGGAGAAGGCGTGGGCGGAAACAAGCATAAATCTTTGGAATTAATCAGCAATAACAATAAATCAAATATCGGTAATAACATGAACGAACGCCAAATTAATCAGGAGCTCGATGACTGGAGTGATGCCGACGGCAATGGCGACACAAATAGCGACAGCGATGTTGCAAAAACATTGGCCGAAACCTTCTACAATGTCGTTGGCCTTGCCAATAGCTACGACACCTACAACAATAGCAACAACGAGCGTTTATTGCGACGCAGAAAACGCAATTCCAGTGGACGTTGCAAGCAACCCGAGCAGTTGCTTATGGGCCAAGAACAACAACAACAAGAACAACAGCAACTAGAAAAACAACACTTTAATAACTTCATATCGACTGCCAATAATGAGGATCCTTGTGCAACGGATCCAGTGATATCAAAACTGCAAAAGAGGTACGTAGTTCTCACTAACACTTGCCGAACTTGAAGATTGAGGAACTATTCCATATCATTGATAATCTTAGCATGCAATTGCTATATAGCCAGCACATTATTTAAGTTCGAAATAATTATTTCTATTCATATTATATACATTAATTAAAAGTTAATTATATAACATACTTGTAGAAGCACTATAAAAAAGTAGTAATATAAATAGAATATTAGATGGAAAGGTTTTATTTATTATACATATATTTTTTAAATCCTTTAGTGGAGTGACTTGGGAGCATAAGGTTCAAACCCAAATTGCAGCTTTATACATATGTATAGTATACAATATAATAAAACAATATATGGTTTTCAAAAAGCTTATTCATATTCTTTAAAAATCAATTCTAACAGACGAACACTTTTAAAATTCCAATAGATTAGCGCAGATCCTTAAGTTCAAAATACGATTTTCAAACTCTCCAAATTACGTTTCCGAATCGATGAATCCCTTCAAGAAGAGTCAGAAAAAGGCGCTGGGTGGCAGATCGGCCGAGTACAAGTAAGGTGGGCCCGGAAGGAATTCATAATGGTCCAAGCACTGATTTGATATTATTACGAACGAACTCCTTGGGCCTCCTAGCCGCTGTTCATCGAACACAGTTGTACGGCACTTCTAAACACGTGAAACCTATATCTCAATCAATATTCACTTTTATTCATATTTTTTCCATTTTGTGGATCACTTGTAACTCAATCAATACATAGTCAATCAATCAATGGATCAGCTTGTAGTTTAGCGGGACAGCTTTTAATCTTCATCTGATGGTAAAATAACACCTCTCAGCATCTCTTATCATTGAGTGTCTTTTAAGTCACCATTCTTTGTCAACAATAAATACAATAGCATACCTGAATACCGCTTTAGAAAATAAATGCAGTACAATCATTTTCTGTGTAATTTGTAATATATATTAATTGCAAGTCTATAAATTGAGTTTTAACGTTCATTGTAGATCAACCCGAAAGGCAGAGTTTCGAAAGCGCCGTCGTATCAGACCCTGCCTGAGCGTGTGCCAAACAGTGGAACAAAAGTGTCCCTACCTGCTGCCTGCCGATCGGGCGCCAGCGCTGCCTACCCAATATGCCGGTGAGCCGACATTTGTCTGCCTAGGTAAGCCAATTCCCAAATTCCAATTTGCAGACATGCCCACTCATCCAATACTTTCTGTGCAAATTTTTAGATCAAAATATACCCGAAACAGGTGAACAACTGAAAAAGTCTAGCTATGGGCCCAACAGTTGCTGCTACACTTACTGCAATGGGGTCGATCGAGGCCTGTGCACGGTTTGTGATGCATTTGCTCTGCCGGAAGACACCGCTACGTCCACAAATAGGACGCGACATGTGCACAACATCACGCTGACGCTGGGTCCGGCTACAGGCGAGCATGCACGAGCCGCCAGTGTGGCTCTGGCGCTAAAGAATGTGAGCACCGCCCCGGCGGATCAGACGCTGGAGAAATTGCGTTATTATGCGCACCACGACAGTATATATTACTACGATGATGACGACGACGATGTTGTTGGCACAAACATGCCCGATAAGCCGCTCTCCGATGGCTGTGCCCCCGTACCCTCGGTCTCCACTCGCTGCACCATCCCCTACTATGCCTCCAGCAGCTACCCCCAGCGGATGCAGGCACCGCAGGCGCAGAAACAGCAGCTGCTGCTCGTCTGTCTGAGCGCACTACTCGGTCTGCTGAGCAGCTGTGGTGCGGCTCGGCAGCGGCGCCAGCAGCGGGGCGTACGTGGGTGGCGTTCCGTAAACTGTGCGCCGGACTGCCACGAGCTAATGGATGCGCGCCAGAGCCTTAAAGTCGCCGATGCTGGACACAGCAAAAGCGATGGTATCAGTGCCAGTGCCAGTGCCAGTCATGCAAAGAAGGGCAAGTCGACGCCCAAGTGGCGCGTTCGAGCGACGAAGGCTAGTGTGACGTGTGCGTATGGCAGCTGCACCGGAAGCGGAAGTTCCACTGGCTTGCGGATACATCATGGCTGCTGTAACCGTAGCAGGCGAAGCAGGATCAGCGGTAGCAGTAGCAGTAGGGTCTTTAAAAAGAACGATGCGTGGTCGCTTCGACCAGTCAACAATACTTATATACTTAGTAAAGTACGATATTTTAGTAGCAGAAATAAATTTAAATTCGCGCGTAGCAAAAAGTCTAGGCATAGTCGTATACTTAACTATAGAGACTTACACCTATTACGAATCAAGTGCATCAGCATCAGGAGAAACTACAACCAGGGCGGGGATGGGGGCGGGCATAGCGGTAGGAATAGGAATTATCGCTACTTCTACTATTATAACTACAACATTAACGATTGGTGGCGAAGATGGCGGCTGGACGGGTTATAGTGCACGCAAAAAGTATGCGCACAAACAACATACTTGTACACACACACTCACAATCGAAGGCACTCGAAGATGTCAGGACAAATGTCATTCATTATAGTACTTACTATAGGAAACTGAAGCTAGATAAATTAAACGAACGACACGAAGAATGGCAAAACGAAGAAGAGTCAACGTAAGGAACGCAATTAGCATAAATAGTAAAATGTAAAGAAAATAAATAAAACAAAACAAAACAAAAAACAAACAAGCAAAGAAAACAAAACAGGAGTAACTCGAAGCAACTAACGAAATTACAAAAGCGAAACCACTTTAAATATTTATGGTCCTCTTTCAAGTGAAATGAAAATAAGCAAAATTGAAGAATAAATTATAAATCTCTATTAAAAACCAAATAGAATATTTTATTACAACTAGAACAAAAAATATTAATATTTAATTAAACAAAAAACAACTGCCACAAAAATAGGTTTTTTAGGTAAACATTAAATAAAATGCAGAACAGCAAGACGTTAAACAATGGTATATAACCAAAACAAAAACTAAAAATAAAACAGAAACAGAAAATAATGATACATGCATAGTTATAAATCTATTTAATGGAATAAAAACCGAAAAATACGAAAAGTTAGGTTAGCTAAAGCCCAAAACAAGTACATGAAATGAAATTTACAATTAGCCTAATGTAATTTAAAGGATGAAATGTGAAATGAGAACGTCGCTGCAACTAAATAACGTTAACAGAAAGCGCAAAGCGACGATAAAACAAATTGAATACCCCACGGAAAACAAAAAATACTCGTAAACCCGAAAAACATTTCACTAAAAGATCGTCGTATAGGCCGCGTATCAACCACCTTTCAAAAAATCTTTGAAAACAAAAATGATGAAAACGAAACGTGAACATTTTACTTATTTAAAGAGTTAGTTTAAATTGATCAAATTATATTAATATATACATAGGCGATTTGATTTCAATGAAGTAAGGAAATAAAATACTATAAATAAAGAAAACCAAAAACCAAAAAACAAAAAACCAACAATTATAATATAGCAGCTGCAAAGTGTGTCTGAAATCGTCTTTATTTAGTTTTTAAAACGAAAACAACATGAACATTGTTTAACCGATTATACAAATGAAGTATATAAAGCGCACAGTAAACCTATTATTAAGATTCATGAACAAGGCAATGACGTCACACGCCTACGGAACACAGAGCACGGGCTAGGGCAGTGCAATGTGAATGCCAACCACAACATACCTACTATATAATTAGTGCATAACATAATAATAATAATAATAATTTTTGTAATAAAGTGAACTCTATGTAGCGTAAATATATTTATAATTAACAATTTATATTTACACGCATGCATATATATTACATGTATCGTACATACTTGCAGCAGAAGCGTCTTAAAATAATGATGATAATGATCATGAAAACAAAAACAACAACAACAACAACATAAACCTGTAGGCAAAAAAAAAAAACAAAGAAAAGAAAAGAAAAGAAACAAAAACCAAAGTAAAATAATATTTAAATGGGTCAAATAATTAGTTACTATAACGAAAGATTATGAAGATGATAGACGTTCTTGGTATAAGCGAATTGCCTATTGAACCACGCCTACTACCAGCAAAACAATCTTTTGCATAGGCACACACACACATACATACTGACACATTTACACCCACAACACACCAACATTCACTCGCCAGTTGAACATTTCACATTTCACAATTCACAGGTACGTGTATAAGTTCATGTTTCGGGAACTTCCACTTTTCCTTTTGTGTACTCGTATATGCTGTCTATGATCCTATGATCCTTATTCCTTTCATTTCGGAATGGTTACGCACTGCAGGCAGTACTGGAAACCAAATATTTCTCAAAAACAAAATCAGGATCAGTTCCCACTACAACTTTTGTCCGTAAATTCAACTTGACGCATTACTTTAACAGTAACTTTGTATGGAAGAAAATTTGATAGTTAGTGCGGTATGTTAAGTGTCGTTGTAGAAGAATTCCTAATCAAACATACATACTACTATATATACTCGGATATAGCGGACTCACTACTTGCATTTCCTCTTCACTTAAGTAATCGACGATTTGTCCGAATCTTTTGGTTTTAACGTAGTGCGTGTTAGTACAAATATAAACATACATATAGACCCGTATAGACAAAACAAAAATCCTTTTCATTTACACTTGATAGTCAGCTATACTACAAGTATATAGTACTGTATATGAGCACCCAATCAAATACAACCCACACTTTCCCCTTGCCTCGAAAATGTACAGAAATGTTACAACCCCTCCTCACCTATGTACGAGTATGTACTATACACACGATATCTCATTCAGCAATATTTGCACACAACAACACTTAATGGACTCATTTAATTTTTGAATAAAATTGTTAAATGAAATTTTGTCAAGTATTTCTGAAAGCATTTCAATTGTAACACAATTATTTAATTAATGTTGGAATTGTTTTTTAAAAATGGAGTAAAACATGTCAGTGGCATTTGCGAATTGCAAAAATGTGTTTCACTTGATTTTCGCGAAATGTTTAAAAGCTGTCAAACTAATTAAAATGTAATTGTAATTGGAGGGGGCAACCGCTATGTTTATACCGAATGCAGGAGATCGATCTAATGTATGATTATGAATACGAATACGAATATGTAAGTGTATGTGTATGTATATGTATTTTTAAAAACGTTTTGAGGCAACATTTCAAAGCGATAGCCGCTGGCACAAATTGCGCGCATATGCAAATTGTTATGAATTATTGTGTACTTTTGTAAAACTTTTTGATATATATAATATAGTTAACATGAATAGATGCCTAAATAATAAATTAAATGTTAATTTATTTAAATTTAAACAACAAGCCCAGTGTATGACGGTGGCAAAATGCGTTTGCCTCGAACGCCTTTCCCGTCGAACTGTTGGCTGACAACAAAAGCAGAAACCAAAACAAAAACAAAAACACTAGCGTATATATAAAAAATGGATTATCTTCAGTGAGCAGTTGGTAGATGCAACATTCTGAAACAACATTCTCTACTAAATTTTAGTCTCTGCGACGACGACGACGACGACGAAGACGATGGCGATTATGATTATGATGGTAATGATGATGATTATGACGATGCAACTAAACTAGTTGAATTGTGTACGTGGGTAAATAATATTGATACCGATATTAATAAAGAATGAATTACTTTACCGCAACATTTACATTACAACTTTTGTGTACAAATGAATTAAATAATTGAGCAGAGCATGCATCATGCATCATGTTGACCTGTCGACGTAAATTAACATAAATCCATGTTATAATACAAATATTGTATAATGAAATGAACTAGCTAAACATTATAATGAACGTCAGCGCTAGCAAACTCAAAGCGAAATCAATAACAATTAACACGAAACCGATAAAAAAAAACGAAAAGCCACTACAACAACATAAAGTATAACAATAATTTTCTAATTAAAAAGCAGCTGCCGTGAAAAAAAAAACAAACAAACAAAAAAAGACGAAGCCGCTGCTGACAATGTTATGGTAAATGTAGCAATTATTTTTTACAAAAAAAAAAAAACAAAAAATATATTAATGTAAAAAAATTTACAAACAAAAAAATTACAAAAAAACAAAATAACAGAAAACCCTACAGAAACCCCTCTTTTAGGCCGCAAAGGAAAAAGTACATTATTTACATAAATTATGTGCAAGACAAAAAGGAAAAAAGTAATAATATACATTAAATATCATGAAAGCAAGCACAAAAAGCAAAACAAAAAATAAAAACAAAAAAACGGAAACAGAAAAAACTAACGACGCCATGCAACACCATTCACACACACAGACACAGCCACACACACACACACACACACATATATATACACAGTCAAACGAAAATTAAACTCATGTCAACATTCATTTAAATTGAAAAGTGAATGAAAATGAAACAAATTCATATACAATAGCATGTATTTAAAATGTCTAAAATGCAACATAGCGCAAAACAATGAAAAACTACCCCTCCTCCCAAAAACCAAACCCAAACGTAAGGTAGTTAAAATTAAAAGAAAACAAATAAACAATTATTTAAAATCTGTAATAAAAACAAGACAGCTAACAACTTTAACAAATTACCGAAATCTTCTGTACTTGTTATTAAAACAACAAACAAATGGAAACGAATTCAAAACTGAAAAACTTAGAATTGAAAACAACAAGCAAGCAAAAAACAATGAATCTTTCATATAAATAAAAAATAAAATAAAATTAACTTACATGCCATGTCCTAATGCTAAGCCACAAGGCGAATGATTATTTAAGTCAAAAAAACAGAGAAATCAGAAAACCGAAAACCGTAAACAGAATCCCCAAAACGAACTATCTTAATTCGAGATAAACTAATACTGATACTAATAATGAAGAAACTGGCATAATTATGATAACTGTAAAATAATTAAACAATGACGTAAATGTAATGATAAATAATAATGGATAAATTGTTGTTATTGAATGTATTTGTATAGAAAAATTATTATGATTATGACGATGAATAATAAATGATTACAAATAATAATTATTGTTCAAAATGAAAAAAAAAAAACAAAACAAAACAAAAAATACATATATATGAGAAAATCCGTTGCTTTCTATTTATTTCATTTCTCCAATCCTCCCCAATACACTCTACGTCCGTACTTGGCCGCCAGTGCCTGGAACGTAAGCCTCAAGTCAACTAAATTCAAGCGTCCCACTTGAAACTTTTCTTGCAATTTGTTTAAGCGGCGGCCTGTTTTGACCCCAATGAGTTGGCAAATTAAATAGAAAAGAAAACAAACTCAGCAGCAACTATGTATGCACAGTGGAAAAACGGCAAATATTAACCAACAGTGTGGAAGGGTAACTTTAACTGCAGCTTGAGGAATCCCAACACTAATTTATATAGCAAATAGGCAAGGTCAGTTCAACCTCATAAATTTGGGTGTACCTACATTTTTTTGTGCCTCATTTTTTTACAAACAGACATGAGCCTGAAAAGTAAGCAAGGCTGTACTATTTCCCAATCAAGAATGAGATCTTATTTAGAAACATTTCTAGAATATTAAAATACTTTTCACCCGGTGTTTCCACCCCATATCCATTTCAAATATTGTAGTTTTAAATGTTTAGAAAAAGACAAAGTACATCAAAAATTTGTCTGAATAATTTATTTTTATATTTTAAATGGCTCTGCAGCTAACATAAACACTGATACATAGTAGCCAATAGACTATTCGACTTATTTATTAAGGTTTTGGAATTAACAAATTAGTTTCTCTTGCTATAACCTAAAAATGATCTGATAAAGTCTAAAATTATTCTATTTCCCTGGTATTATCGAAAAGGCATAGTGTCGCTGTGGTAAAAGTGTATTTAAAAAATTTTTATTTCTTCCACTGTGCTCTGTGAGGACACTACGTATAAAAAACAGCACACGCACTTAGACAAAAAAAACAAGGAGGCCAGATTAAAACTTGTTTGAAAAAGGAAAAGAAGGGAAAAGTTGCGCTTAATACGGCCGCAGACGTGATGTTTTTTTGTTGTTGTTTTATTGTGGCTGTTGGTCCCGCTTGGTTTTTCTGATGTTGGTTATTGCTACGAGAGAGACCCGCAGATTAAAACTTGCACTTTTCCACGCCGTAAGTCGTTATATCCTTAACGGTCGCAATGATCCAGAAAAAAACAAACATACTCTAATTAAGCGCCACCGTTGGAAGAAACTACGGAAGCACTAAGTAAACCACCGAGACCGTGGCCCCTTCTGAAGCTTTTTACCTTTTTTCCTCTGAAGCTACCAACACTTACGCGAATCCTCAAACACACACACACACACACAGACACACACTTGCATTCGCACTTAACAGAAACGACCTGGTCCCGGCTACGACTACCACTACGGCTACGGATACGGTTACGGCCGTTCGGGCGCAGGAACTGCGCCTTCGTCAATTGGTGGCGCCGACAAATCGTAAAATCTCGCACATGGCTCAGACTCGATTTGACTGTCGAAAGGGAAAGTTCAGAGCGCGGACTCAGACGCAGCAGTTCGTCAGCAATTGCGTATGTGTGTGTGCGCGTAGTCGTCTCGTTTGGTTGTGTGCGACAATTGTAACGGTCGTTAGCGTGTACGCACATTCGTGTGTGTGCGTGCGTGAGTGTGTGTGAGTGTGCGGCTTGTTTTGCATGCAAAACTGCCCAAATATTTGCAAAGCCATGGCCTGGCAAACGAACCGCCGCAACGGTCAACCAGAAAGCGCTAATAGCCAACAGCTAACAGCCGCAACTAAAGTCTGCCTTACTTGTAGTTCGGCTTCATTTAGTTGGCTTATATTTGTATTTGCGGCCTGTTTTTATGAAATTACATTTGTGCCAAAAATACACAGAAAATAAATTAGCCCGCCGAAATGCTACGAAAATTGGCTCATAAAAGTTTGCATGTCAATTTTGGTGCTAATGTCAATTAGTTGCGTGACACAGCAATGGATATGTATTATACACACATATAAATACTTGTATATATGTATGTACATACGTATATTGTTATGTGTCTATAGGTCGGCTGTCATTCATATGCCCTCATAATTGGCGGCTACACGACTTTGTGCTTAACTTTCTTTTCCAAAGTTTTGCCGTCTCATAAATAACTTAAAAAGGTCAAAATATAATTGAAACAGACGCTTATTTCTGCCAACAAATAATTAATATACTAAAGAAGGATCAAGGACTATGGTGTATTCACAAATAATAATGAATGCTTTTTGAAAAGCAATTTCGGAAATTCATTAAAAGTGTCAGCAAAATGCTTTACATATCTTAATAACATTTATATTTCGTTCCATTGTTACCCAAAAATAGGAAAATAGCAGATCTGCTTCAGATTTAAAAAAAATTTAAGGTTATTTACCACGAAGTTTTGCCAACAACAATTTTAGGCCAACTAAAGAATTTCATATGCCAAATTTACTCATTCATTTGGTTTCCAAAATTTGTATAGGAATTTATTTAAACAATGCCGAAATATATGTATATTTTGATGCTCCAACGTATTCCAATGTTGAATAAAGACGAGTATATTGGCAGAACAATTAAATATAAAAATGTAATAACATTTTCAAAGAGCTTGCTGGCAATGCTTCTAATGCTAATCATGTGTTCGATTTTATGGTATTTAATTCTTTGCTAGCTAATTGCTAGTTTAAAAACATAAAGAAATTAATTTAATTTGTAATTGTGATTTCTGTTTAACTTGCAAGTTAGTCTTTTTTTCCCTTATAGTTTTCTATATCTATGTAAAGTAAATAAAAAAGAAAAGTAGAGCTTCATGTGTCCAAAAGCATTTTACCATTGTATTCCTGAATATACTCGTATTATATAATTCTGAATGGAGCTAGAATTGTGTTAAAAGGCTATAATAAATATTTAAGCAGGTGTTGCCAGTGCTGAATGGAGGGTATTCTCACTGAATACAAATTACAGAATTCAAGTTAACTGCCTTATACTGACACATTACATTTATTTAGATTCATTTTACAGGTCAAAGTTCATGTTATGTTTGTTTGTTTGTTTGTTTTTGTTCAGGCACACTGCTCTCTTTAGCCGGGAAAATCACGTGTCTGACTCCAAATCTAATATTTATGAAATTACAAATGGCCAAGAAAATGGTTTTGCATTATGCTCGCCATTTTTATGTTGTTCGTTTTCATAACTGAGAAACAGTACATTGTTCGTGCGGAAAGTGCCTGCCAACATACTTGTAAGCCAAAAAAAACAATAAAAGTCATAAACGGAATCGCAGAAAATATGACTTAAAATGTCGGCAGCGAAACGCGCATTTCTAACTGCCCTAATCAACATTTTCGTTCTGCTGTTCGCATCAATAATTCAAATCCAACGAATCGACGCTCTGCCACACGCACAAACGGTAAATGGCGCGACCGCGACTGCGGCGAAGACAGCGACGTCGGCAGCCATTGCGCTCACAAAAGCTCAGCAAAGACGCGAACCGGTTCGTATGGTGAATAAACAAACGAACGAGCGTGTGAACAAAGACGTCGGAGGTGGTGGTGGTGAAGATTCTTCCGGTGCGTTATGTGGTTGCGCTCACAAGTGGCTGTTAGATTCTAAAAAACATTTGTTTATATTTACTTATACTCTGTGCCCAAAGAGTGAATAGGCTATATTAGATTTGTGGAAATGTATGTAACATGCCGAAGTATGCAACTAAAAATATATTTTTGTAATTATATTTGAAATCTGTCTTAACCTAGACAAAAAACAAATTTTATTAATTTAAATTAATTAACTAACAGGACAGGCTCCAATATCCCCATCCATATCATCTATAAATAAATTTTAAAAAAAGAATTAAACTCGTGTTGACTAGGAACTACTTAAGTAAACTCTTCTATTAGAATATGCATACCAAGAATTGTCAATGTGGGTTGAGTTCTTCTTTATTTCAACATGGTTTATCTGGATTTGGTTACATTCTTTCCACAAACAAAATATAACCTTTTTACACTTCGGACACGCTTCGTCATTCTTCTTTTGCATTTGCTAAAAGTTTCTTTCGGGGACAGGGCATTTGCACTGCCGGAATTACTGGACTATAACATCTTTTTTAATTTTTATTTGTCAGCAGTTAACAGCAAGCGCCTGCCTCGAAGTGTTTTTCACGTGCGCTGGAACCCCAATGAGAAATTCGTGGTTGAGAGTCGCGAGAATCCCGCTATTAATTCCTCTAGATTGGCACCGCATCCGCGTCTCAAGGTGTCGAAGAACACGAAGCTTACACTCAGTCCGAAGTTGTATCTCTGCCATGACAAATACTCGGAACTGTGTCACAACAAGACACTAGCGTTTCGGCAGCGCATTGTGCAAACGCTGGAAAAGTCGATGAGGGAAGGCGATAACGAAACTAATCCTTATAATGTGGACTACAAGCCGGTGTTTGGCGATAGCTTCGAGGAGCAGTACTACCCGTCAACCTGCCTGGTTATGGAGGCGGGAGTACGAGTGCTGAGACGCCGGGATGCTCCATTCAATAAGCTCCCGTTTGGACGACTTTTTCCGCGCCAGAAGCTATTTCGGAATGTGAAAAGCGTCAAGACGTGCGCCATTGTTTCCAGTGCCGGTTCACTTGTGGGGTCCAAGCTGGGGCGATTTATAGGTAGGTCCGTGGCATGCGACTAGCATGTGTAAGCAGCTCAACGGCTCATCAAATAGAGCGGAAGAGCGAAGTCGATGACAGTTAGTTAGTTATCATTTATTAACACCTGCGCTTTTGTACTCCAATTTAGACACACACGACATTGTAATGAGATTTAATCACGCGCCAACGCAAGGATACGAGGTGGATGTTGGCAGCAAAACAACAATACGTGTGGTGAATTCCCAAGTAGGTAGCACCGTCTCGCCGGCACTTAATGCCATTTGGTAACTGCAGTTCCGCGCTCATTATTCTCCACCTTTGTGCATTTTGTTGGCATTTCCAATTTCAGTTATATACAAAAGTATGTACTCGTATGTATAATGTGAGAACAAAACATTTTAATTTACAGTCACGTTTCAAAAACGCCTAAAACGTTTACTGCTCTATTCACTTAAAAAAGGAATAGAGGGCAAAACATTCCTTTTTCAACATTTCCAATATTATTTAATTACATAATAATAGTAACAAAATAAAATAAAAGTACACTCGCGCAAATATCCATTGCTATTTTTAACATTTTATCGACTTTTATAAGACTGAAAGGATTTAATTAATTTAATTAATTTTATGTCGAAAGAAAATCAAAAGTGAATCATTAACAATCCAATCCAATTATACAATTATATGTTTTCTAAGCCTATAATGCAGCAGTTAAGTCAAATTTCCATTTTATCTTTTTCAAAATATACTAGACACAATTTAAGAAACATACTTTTATCGATATTTATAAGACTGAAAGGATTGAGTAAATTTAATGTCGAAAGAAAATCAAGAGTGTATATTTAACATGGCTTTTCAATTAAACAATTATATGTTTTCCAAGCTTATAATGAAGCTGTTTAATCAAATTTTCATTGTATCTTTTTCAAAATATATTAAACACAGTTTAAGAGACATACTATATCCTTAAAAACACCATATTTATTTTCCTTGTTCATTCCGATCGCTAATTTTAATTAATCTTCATCACGATTTGTTTTTTCTGAACAACAGGCATTCTTCTGTTAAACAAATAAATATAAAAGTCTTTCAATTAAATGGTGCATTTCAATTTTTTAAGAAAATTAAATCAAATTGCTCCTTCTTTTATATTTAAGATTAAATATTTTCGACTAAAACTAAACCCCTAAGCACCCTCCTAACAATTTAATTTGATTAAATTAAATGAAAATACCGAATAATTTATTAAAGTGTTCATATTTGTTGGCTTCTAGGTGGTAACTAAGCCCGAATTTGATTTTCCACATGCCCCCATTTTTCGAAATGTAACCATTGCCGCCTGGGATCCAGGAAAATATAATGGCACTCTGGAGGATTGGCTGACAAGTGCGGACTATGATTTATTTACCAATTATGAGATATACAGGCGACGATATCCCAAATCACGTGCCTTTCTCATCGATCCACATTCGGTATGGCGCCTTTGGCAAAGTTTGCAAATGTTTGCTGGCAATCGACCCATTCGTCGCAACCCACCAAGCTCTGGTTTCATTGGTAAGTGGCTAAGCTGACATTATTACAATATACTATTTGTACTATATATAAGTACTTATCTGCGGCAACCAGGCTTGGCTCTGTTGCTGCCATATTGCTCGCAGGTTGATTTCGTAGAGTATATGCCGTCTACTCGCCTCAATGGCCGTTGTCATTACTACAGCAAAGAGGTAAGCAACGCATTGTACTTGTATATTTATTTATTGCACCGTTTATCTGCTTTCCTGCACATTGCAGATGAACTCGGCCTGTACATTTGGCTCGTGGCATCCTTTGGCTGCCGAGAAACTCATGGCTCTGGATATGAATGTGGCTGATGACATGTCTGTCTTCCAGTTTGGGATATTACGCATACGACAGCCGGATAAATTGCTGTGTGGCTTCAATTTCTTTGGCTACTGAGCAACGACTGGTGCTGACAATCAATACAAATTCCCTGTATCCGTGACTGCCTGCGACGTGCAGTCCAAATTGCATTTATGAAATGGTTTTCATTATTGTCATACCAATTGTTGTTGTATACTTATTATAAATACATATATTCTATGCAATGGCCAACGCCCGCAATCGCAACAAAGGACAATTGCAATTAATAAACTTATATCTACATACGAGTATTTGCGTAGAACTTTGACTTAAGAGCAAGTAGGAGTGGGAGTCGGTGTGGGAGTCGGTGTGGGAGTGGCAGACGGAAGTTGAAAACTGGACACCCTTGAGCGAACACAGCAGGCACTTCAAAGGTGCACAATGGGAGTCTTCAATAATATTGCTTGTTTATTTACTTTGTTTAAACAAGAACAACAGCAAGTCAAATTATGACTGCTGCATATTTAAGCCATTAAAAGCAATTACTGTTGTCTACATGGGCCACAACAGCAACTTGAACGAAATATTATTTCTGCTCTCAGTCTGGGGCGGGGGCGGGGGCGGCGAAGACGATTCAGAGGGCGACGTCATTAATACGTGCTGTGGCGAACAAAACGTGATTTAAATGCTTGAGTGGCACTGCAAACCACAAGTCGTCAAGACAAAAAACAACCAACATTTCAAAATTCAACGAATATTGACAGTTTCTGCGAGCCACAGCTTCCAATCATGCGTATACGCAATATTTGTTGCCTCAACACCTCTTTATCAAATAACGTTGAATATCGAACAGAAATTTAAACTCAATATATGCATATAGTTGATGCATTGAACCAGGAAAACTCTTAAGCAAACGAAAGTTATGATCACCAGCAATCCACAAAAAAAGGGAGCAGCGTCGCGCATTCTGGATATTAAAATGTCGGCCATGAAATTCTTTTTACTTTTGATTGTATATACATTGGTGGAATTTTAAAATAATTTCTGTGCCAAAATAAGAGGAATTCATGCATCAAATGCAACACACCAACACATACAAACAAATATACGCAAATAAAATGAATTCTGTCATCAAATGCCACAGGCCAGCACAAATATGGGAGCTTGTATAGGTGTGTGTAAGTGTGTGTGTGTGGATATAATTGCAGGTGTTGCTAGCAGTTTTTTGAACTCTGTTACTAAACCAAATACAAATTGTGTTCTTTTTTATACACGAATTTGCATTTCGCAATCGGGCCAATAAAGGCGCTTTGTTTTGAAGCAAAAACTCATAAGCAAACAATCAACATTTTTTAGCTGCAACTCAAAAACTTGCATATATTTAAATATTTACTTATATTGTTTGTACAACAAAAACACACTGATTCGGCTAAGCCATTTCTTTATTCAATTCGACCATTTGTTTATTTGTGAAAAATATGCATGCATATGTATGGCTCCGTCCCGCCAACTTCAAATTATTTTGATAACCACGACGAGTTTACAAGCTCTTTTCGAATTCGCGCGTTCATTGCCCTTGCCCGTAAGACGTGTTTGAAATATTTAGCATTCATCAAATTATTAATTGTAAATTTATAAAATGTAATGGTGGAGGGTGTAGAGTAATAAAGAGAAATGCAAAATGCAAACCCAGCAATGGTTAGATCAAAATGGAATATTTATTATGATAGGCAAAAGTCGAAAACCAAACAAAAGTATTTCACATAAGCTATTCTGAGCACTTGTTAGACGTCATCAGCGCAATCAGTAGTTCTTGTTTAAGTTACAAGTCTTTAGTTTAGCATTGTGGCCGACAAACTGCAGGAGAGGGTTCGCTCTTCTTCTTCTTTTGCTTCTACATTTCACTTATTAGATATTATTGTAATTTAATTAGATTTTTCCAGCATTTTCCACAATTATATGAATTTTTATAGCCTTTATATTGTTTTTCGTATGTATGTATATTGTTTTACCTATGTTACATAAATAAATAAACTCAGAAGCGGAATTTTGTATGGGTACAAGATATTTCACTGTCGGGCTTCCTCTTTTGTTGGTACTATGGATCGGGGCATAGCTTTCTCGCTATGAGAGAGTGAAATAAAATAGGGCTTCTGCGCGGAATATTTTGTCGATGTAGTACTTGGCATGAAACACAAAGTCTCCTCTCGGCATGGGAAGCACTTTAGTCATTCTTTCATCTAAAAAACTCGTAGGTAGTTTATCCAGAACCACATCGTGCTGCAATTGATAGGAATATAGTTACTTTTGTACGATAATTTAAATAAAAATATTTACATAATAAGGACACGTGTGGTTCAAATTGCTATAATCTTTAATAAGTTGATAAAAAAAAATTGTGACTGGGTGGTTAGGTCTTGCCAAAAAACTGCACAAATTTACGGTATAATTAAATAAAAAAGGCTTATATCCATTGGCGCGTTTTAATAGCCCGTAGTTAATCTAAGATATAAATAAATAAAAATGTTATAGCACAGCCAACAACCATGACAACTTTTATACATATGGCACATTACCTGTAAATTGGTTAAGGGCAGTTTAAGCAGTTTGACTTTCATCGACATGTATTTGTATGTCCGATTCACAGATTTTAAGAAGCAATATTCATATTGCCAGAAATTTTCGTCGTAGGAGATACATTTTATGTTTGTGAACTCAAAAGTAGTTTCCACCTATGAGAGTAATATGCATTATAATGAAGGCTCATAAAGTAACATGCACATACATATTGTATAATTATAGAAACCGATATTAGAAGAACTGCCAACAAATTGGCGAAATTCATGACAATATATATAACATCTAAATACATATGACAACTGATCTGTGAGCTTCATAAATAGGACTAAATGTAGTCGATGTTTATTTATTTAAAATCACTTTTTAATTATGTTGTAATATTTAAGGTAGATATGATGTTTAGTAGTCCATGGAATATTTTTGAACTAAATAGCACAATCATTAATATTGGTTAGATATTATATTATAATACCTTTTATTACTAGGCATCGGGTGCTCCGACTTTGAAGTACCCTGTACCTATGTTTAGAATATATTTATACTATTTTCTTAAAATAAAAAAATACATCAATTGTGCAATGCACAAAATTTATACAGGGTATAAGAAGGTTTTATTAGGTTCGTGCAAAATATCATACTGGCAGAAGGAAGGATCTCCAAGTCCACAATATGTATGTATATACCTAATTATGTTTTCACACAGTCTTTTTTTACACGGTTTTGGTATAACACAGTTTGAAAATTAAAAATTTTATTAAGGTTACACGACTTTATTCCATTTAGCACGACTCAAAATAACTTATGATCAATGTATTTTTTATACGACTTTTTCTGAAACCAATCTACCGTGAAAAAATAGAATTAGTTGAATATAATTTCAAACAGAATGACGAGATAAGAAACTGCTGCACTGGGTGTTTTTGTCATGATTAATTATATTTATATATAATATCTTTTGACATAACATATTAGCAGACATTTTATTCACACTGCTTATTATTATTCTTAATGACAAGGGCATGTTAGGTATCTACCTAATAGATGAAGCGTTATACCCTACACTTAGACCACATAATTCGTACGGTTCTACAGATTTGTTGTGTAAGTGAAATCATCTAGGAAGAGTTGCCCGAAGGCGGAAAGTCTGCCGAGAGAGAGAAATCTCTATTCTTTTCAGTTTCAGAAATGCCTCCATCTCAATATTCCAGATTTTCAGATTTCAGATTTCCCATTGAAGGTTTTTCAGAGATCTGCGACAGTCAGTGATAATAAACACGTTTTAAAATGATATTTTAAGCATAAGTATGTTAACTGATAATAACCACTTCAGATTTTAAGGCAATCAGTTTTGATTTATATAATTATATTATAAACTGTTCAGCAATGAAATGTACATAAGTATGTATACATGTTTTTATTCCCCTCTCTCTTCCGCCGAATAAGGTTACATGGACTTTGAATCAAGAGTTAAATATGCACGAGTTTACTTTGGTTTTAAGGCTTCGACAATAGTCTACACCTGATGGGGCACGTACAATGCAAGTTACTTGGCTTTGGTGGCTGAATGTGGCTCAACTAGACGAGAATAATTGACAGCATCGGGTGGTGGGCAGGGTCGACGATATGTATTTAATGTCTCAGTATTTGGCAGCTATTCAATGATGTGTCAATCGTTTCGAACATATACACAAATCACATACAAATGGGAAGTTGAGCACGAACTAAGGATGCTGATATCCGATGTCGCTGTCTACTGTTAGTGGAATGCCAATCAAACTCTTAAATAAAATCTAAGGCAGAAGAAAACATCTGCGAAATGATTTCATTATGTTTTATTTATCTTTTTTTATTTACTGTGAGCTGTTTCCATGCTTCAGTTGTGTATATATTTGCTTCGAATCATGAGCTGAGTCAGTGGAATATATTGCGACGAAGCCAGCTGAAAGAAAATGCAGACATGTACGATATATACATAAGAGCATTCAAATTTTTCGGCACCCATTTACAGGGCGTCTGGCTTTCTGTTGATTGCATTAGCGAAAGCATTACGCATTAATTTCTGAGAATATTGTGATCGTCGCCGTGCTCCCAATTTAAATATATGAAATATAAATTTTGTTTCTGTCCATAAACTGAAAACCATGACGCATAGATCGCACCGCAGACCACATAAAGGCCTATATAACTATACACTTGTATGTATGTATGTATGTATGTATGTACGAGTATATGGGCTTTCCCATGTTGTAGTTAATGAGTATTGCAACTAAGAAGAACAGAGACACCGAAGGCGTGTCCTACCACCGCAGCACGTACAGGAGTCATTCAGCCTGATAAGGTATAAGTCAGCAAATAAATAATACTACACAGCCGTAGGTGGCTCAACCACGAAGCCTTCCAGCAGACAGTCAAGGTTAAGTTTCGAAAACCCATCTCATACACGTTTATGCCAATTACTTGGCTATGCAATTAACACCGTCAAAGTTGTCCGAGCATGTCCAATCGAACAATTCATTCATGTATAATCAAAATAGGTCGTAATATTGTTTACTAAAATTATAATAGCTAAAGCATTTAAGGAAGACTTTGCTTTAAAAAAAAAAAAAAACAAATAAATAAATAAATAAATAAATACCATTTGACTTATATAGTATGTACAAATAATTTTAGATCTATTTTTAATCTGTGCATGAAATGGCAAACAGATAGTTGACGGCTTGTGTTTCTCGAAAACAAAAAACGACCAAAGCCAACTCTCCCAATAAAAATTCTTATATTAATACACTCCACTGTTTTTATACCCTGTACCCGTAGGGTAAAAAGGGTATATTAGGTTTGTGCAAAGTATGTAACATACAGAAGGAAGCATCTCCGACCCCATAAAGTATATATATTCTTGATCAGCATGACGAGAGAAATCGATCTAGACATGTCCGTCCGTCTGTCCGTCTGTCCGTCCGTCTGTCCGTCTGTCCGTTCGTCTGGATGAATGCAAGGATCTCGGAAACTATAAAAGCTAGAATAACCAAAGTTGGCATCCAGATTCTCCTAGGTCCGACTAAGGACGAGTTTATTTTTTTTTTTTAATTTCCCCCCCCTTCCCCCGCTACAGAATTTCGTCAATAGCGTCCACATTTCAAATGCTACCTAAACCAAACTTTGCACACATAATTTCTATACAATTATCTACTGTTGTTTATCAAATTCGGTCAATTCTAAGAAAAGTTATTAGCAAAACAAATTCTCACCAGTACAACCCCCCCAAACTGCAGCAACAAGTTCGCTCTTCTTCTTCCTCTTTTTGTTGCTGCTTTGGGCGCATATAACTCAGTGACGGAAGTTTACCTGGGTACAGGGTATTACACTGTCGGGCTTGCTCGACTGTAGCGTTCTCTCTTGTTGTTTCTCCGTTTGATATACCCTGTACCTAAATAGTAAAAAGAAGGGTATACTAGTTTAGTGCGAATGTATGTAAAGTACAGTAAGAGGCTCGGCAGACCCCCCGAAGACTCCCCAAGAATAACCAAACTTGGTATCCGCGTTTCCCCTAAGCCCTAGGCAGATTAAGTTTGTGTTTTTTTTCCTGATGCACCCCCACTCCCCCGCTATAATTGATTTTCCACAACTCTCGTAGTTCTAGGTATTTCAATTTCATTCCTTATGTGTCCTCCTGTTAAGAGTTGAGCCCGCTCGAACCGCTCTAGAATTCCATTCTTGTTTTTTTATAATTATATTTTTATATTCTCTTTTGATAGATATTGCTGTTATACTTACCTGGATTTTCTGGTATATATAGTCTTTACTAAATCTTATTACTCCAATCAATACTTTATATACTTCACTCGTTGAATTAAAGAAACATTTGTAGTGAGCATGCTGATGTTATTTTTTGGGTCTTAAGATAAAGTAAAGTAGAAAACTGCATCAGCACGTATTGTGCCATAGGCATACCAGATAGTATTGAATGCATAGTCTCCCTTCGGCATGGGTAGCACGGTGGTCAATTCGTTATCCAAATGATTCATTGGCAGTTTTTCTACAATAAGGTCATGCTGAAAATATTTTTGCAGTCAGTGGGCGGTAATCAGGAATATATGGGCACAGGAAGATAGTATTCTCACATCATAGGGACATGTATGATTGATATTGGTGTAGCCCTTAAACAAGCCGTAAAAGTATTGGTTGACCGGGTTGAATGGCCTTCTAAGATAGCTGCACGCATCCACAGACATGTTATAGAGAAACGGTTTGTATCCATTGCCACGTTTCAATAAAGCGTAGTTCACCTTTTTCAAAAGTCAAATCCGATTAGTTACTTGATAAGTCACTTCGAATACTTTACCTTCGCATTTGTTACGGGAGTCTGCAGTAACTTAACCCCTAACGACATATACTTATAGGTACGATTCACGGATTTGATAAAGCAGTATTCAAACTTCACAAAATCCTCATCCCGGCTATTGCATTTGATGTTGGTGAATTGGAATTCACCTAGAACCTACGTCTTTGATGTTATTAATATGAAATATGCCGATTTAGCAATAACTTACGTGGGTAAATTCACAAAAAATGAAAAGAAAGAAAATGAACTCCACCTTCATGTTTGAAAACTAAATGTATGACTGACACAGATGGCACCAGCTTAATGCATAAAAGTATTTGTGACAGAAAGATACAAATCAACATAACGAGCCGTATAATAGTTAATTTATATAACAATATCAAAAACAAAAATCCCAAATCATCGAGTTTTAAACGTTTTTTAAGTGTACTCCATTGTGCGTGAACTCAGTTGGAACAATTTTTTTAAATCTTCGAAAGAAAGTGAAAAATAATAATATCGCTTATGATAGAATATATTTGCGTTTTGAAATGAACTGCACGTATTTTATAGAGAATTATTGAGTACTTGAATAAGTATTCTGAAATACCAGAGTCCAAAAATCTATCATTAAAATAATGGATGGAAAGTGAATGAAAACTTTTGCGAAAGAAAAAATGTGTACTCAATTGCTCAGTATTTGTGTATCATTCTATAGTTAATGCATTTTTAAACGTACTCATTTCTAACATGTGTGATTACTGGTTGATATTTGTTCATAAAAATAATATTTAAGACATATTAAAATATGGACAGACCGATAAATCGAAGAATGTCTTATTATATATTATTTTATAGATTTCAAAATATTTCCCACTATTTTCCCATTTTAAAAGAGTTGCGACTTGTATGGAAATTCAATAATAACATCTTCAAAATATCGTAAAATTTTATTTTTTATTTATAAAGTGAATTCAATCTGAATGGTTTAAGTGCCATGACTGATAACTACTTGTAATTTGATATACTTTGAGAACAAGGAATAAATTGGGAATTAATATTGTTAGCAGGTGGCTTGAATACATTTTAACACAATTCCATTCATGAAATTCTTTTTGTTTTATTATATTTGTCAAGTAGTGAAGTTTAAATTAAAAATATAATTCAAAAATGCATTTGTTCCTTCTTTTTGTAATGATTGAATGTCAAACGGAATAATACAAATGTCTGCTTAAAAATTCCAGTATAATTGCTGAAATTCGTGAGTAATCTGTGCAGTAAATCAGAAAAACGGAAATTTTTGCCCAACTCTTCCGATTATCTTTATTTAGTGACAATATTTGCATTTCAAAATAAAGAGTTGAGGGTTTTGTGTTTTGGAATATCAGTCAGTAATGTATCATTTCTTTCCGTCCATTTAAAAGTCCAATGCTATTTGTTATATATACTTACTTGTATATATATAAGCATATATAAACATTTTTGTTTTGGCTTGCCGCATTAAAATTTCCTGTTGACAATCACAGACACTTCCTTACTTCATTCTTTTCAACTAAATTGCAAACTTTATTTGTTTTGTACCTTTGAAAACAATTTTAATATAAATACGATACAAAGAACCATAAAACAGGTGAAAAGAAAAACATTCCTGCACGTTCGAGTGCATATAAATCAAAATATAAGAACAATATAAAATGAAATTTAACATCAAAACAACTGAGGAGTACAGTAAGAATACGATCCAAGCGAGCGGCGTGCATTTTAAATGATTCAGCTTGAACTTCAGCACAGAAACGGCACTGCTGATATTGTTGAACTTTTATCGGAAAGACACTCTCTGCGCTCATGATTAATATTAGTATCTAAAGCGGAAAATATGCAGCCCATAAGTATAAGAGTAACGTCAATAAAGGCTTGCTAATGATGCGCGACTGATTCACAAAACAATAAGCAGCAAAAGTGCGTACAAATGAGTAATACAGTAAATCTTCTATAACTTGAATTATCGGAGCTCAAAATAGGGAGTACAGTTTGCCTCTATTACTCAAATTCCATTAAAATACGAAAAAAAAATTACAAATCTGTTAAATAATGGATAATGGAAACCCCCTAATTTCTGAATTACTTAGCTATTTTAATTTAAAAACGAAAATTATTGAAGTATTTTTGAATTAAACCCATTTGTATAAAGTTTAATCTGGAAATAATCAAAGGAAGCAAATCATATAAATATAAAAATTATAATTATCAATGTAGTATGTATACAAACAAGTGGAAGAGCTAAAGTCAGGTGCCCCGACTTTGAAAGTCTCTGTACATCATATATGTGCACATTAAATAATTAAAAAATAAAAAACACTAAGAATATTTAACAAATGTGAAAACATGCTTGACCAATTTTACCTGCTTTGGTATTCGAGCTCAATTAAAGGGTGTACAGTGTACACGTACAACTGCACATTAACATAGGAATTGTTTGTCCCCGCAAAGCAGGAACAACACGAACAGGTGCAGTCAGCGCTTGGGCAGAGGTTACATATATCTATGTTGAAAATCGGCCTATCTTAATTAAACTTGAATTACGAGAGTTATCGAAAATTACTAATTGTGTTGGATCACATAGTCACCAACTAACAAAGAAACACAGAAAAAATATCGAAAAAATATCGAAAAACCCTTCACCAAATATCTGTTTTGAGTGTAAGGTCCATCGGAAAATTATTAGATATTTAAATAAAACAAAAAACTTCAATATACATAAGAAAGAAAATGCTAAAGTAGAGCAAGCTCAACTCTTAAATACCCTGTACTTCCCACCAAAAAGAAAAAAATGACAAATAATTTTTTTAATAATTAAAAAAATTTCAGGCTATTTCAAATTATTCAATACATATATACAAAAGTGGAGACATGTTTATGTACAGTTTCCGAATAGTGTCCCTGCGTGTTTATATGCGTGCATGTATGCAGAACAAAGTTGAATGGAAGCAGCAACAAGAACAGCTGCGGGCAGATAACTTCCTCCAAAATTTACCTATCATGATGAAACTTGGCATACGGACAGATAACCACAAAACTGGATGTACAATATTTGAGTACAAAATTCCAAAAATTACGGGAATTATGGAAAAATAACGAATTGCGGGGGAGTGAGGGGATGTATCAGAATAATAAAAAAACATACTTGACCTGCTTAGGGCTTAGGGGAACCTAAATACCAAGCTTGGTAATTCTATCAATTGTACATACCTTCTGAGATCATTGCGCTCATACAGATGGACAGACGGACATGGCTATATCGACTAGGCTTGTCACCCTGATCAGGAATATATATACTTTGTGGGGTCTGCCACGCCTCCTTCTGCCTGTTCCATTTTTCACCTCCCGCACCTCTTGTACATTTCATGTACAGAGTATAAATAGCTTAAGATCAGATTGCCGACAAATTGTAGTAAAAAATTTAAAATAAAAAAATTTATTTCAAAATAAATCAAAACAATTTGCGGACGTCCTCACCCGGCAGAGTCCTACGACTGAATGCTGAACTGGAATAATACAGGGTGCGCCATCTTTTATGTCGGTATGTAAACATTGAATATCTTTTTATACCCTGTACCCAAAGGGTACAAGGGTATATTAGTTTAGTGCGAGTGCACATGGAACACACAGAAGGAGGCTTGGTAGACCCCACAAAGTATATATATTCTTGATCAGCATGACAAGCCGAGTCGATATAGCCATGTCCGTCTGTCCGTCTGTCTGTCCGTCTGTCTGTCCGTCTGTCTGTCCGTCTGTCTGTCTGTATGAACGCAAGGATCTCCGAAAGTATAAGAGCTAGAATAACCAAACTTGGTATACAGATTCTCCTGAGACCGAGAAAGGACGAGTTTGTTCATTTTTTCTGATCCACCCCCCCCCCCTATTAACAATTTTCTATAACTCCCGTAATTCTTGGAATTTTGAACTAAAATTTGGTAGTCACATTAGGTTAGTAATTATATAACCGTATACCAAGTCTCATTATGATAGAATGATCGGAAAGAAAGTTATAGCCATATAACCAGGCTCAATGCACACATACATACATATGTACAAGTACACAAACACGCATAGACACGATTCTGATGTAATTGTAAATGTATGTATGCATGCATGGAATATTTTATATTTAATTATTTAATATTTAGTTAATTAATTAAATTAATTTAGTTAATTAATTTAATTAAATTAATTAATTAATTTAATTACTTTTTTGTGGGGTGGTACAGGGTATTTAAGAGTTGAGCCTGCTCGACTTTAGCATTCCTTTCTTGTTTTATTTAATTTGGTTCTATACAATTTCTTCAGACTAATTTTTGAAAACAACATCAATCAAGCCAATCGGTTCACTAATGACAAAGTTATTCAATATTTACATGCGGACATAAAAGTTGGCGCACCCTGTATGTTTGTACTTTGCAGTCCAACGTTTTTTACACGGTCGCTAATTTTTTGGCGTTTGTTGTTGTTCTACACATATGTACAGAGGATTTCAAAGTCGGGACACCCGACATTAGCTTCTCTTCTTGTTTGCTTATTATTTTGGTGAATATAGAAGTTCGACTATACATGTAACTATATATGTAACTAAGTAGTGTCAGGGGAATGCAACTAAGCCTTTTACGTAGCAGTCGCATTGTGTTAAATAATTGTGTTGTTTTTTGAGCGTTTTGCATCTATGCATATTTTTAGCAAACGAGGAAGATACACGTTGCGATTACGCCCAAGTTGAGGACGCGAGCGGTGTGTGACAAGGAAGGACGTCGTCGTCAGGCAATCAACAGGCGAGGCAGACAGGTAGGCGTAGACGTTGACTGAATATGCGTCGGCCGCATTGTTGCATTAGACATAACTGACAGCAGCAGCAACAGCAGCAGCGGTGGCAGTAGCCGATCAGGCGACAGGCCATATAAAAGAATCTAAGCTCAATGCGGCCAAGTTCAGTCGAGTCGCAAACGCAAACGGAACGCGCACATTAAACTCCAGACAAGAAATTCAAATCGTGTAGTGTAGTGCGCTTTGTGGCTGCTTGCTTGGTGTGCTCGATGTACTCGTATACAACAAATGGGAATAAACTTTTCTGTGCATAATAAAAGCTAAAAACAAACAACAATTAAAATTACTTTGTGTGTGTTCTTCCGCTTTGCATGGTGCCGCTGCTAAAGCTTTTGCTCTTCTAGTTAGACAGAGAAAGTGCGAGAGCAAAAGAGAGGAGGAGAGAGAGAGAGAGAGAGAGAGTGA